TCCTCTATTTTCAGGCTCTACTGGTGACTCTTCTTATATCAATGTAGTCAAGTGAGTGGCAGGTTGCCTGTGTAGTGGCCCTGGCAGCTAATGTGGTGGTGAACTGTTCTTGTGGTGACAGAAGGTTTGGAGGTGTCTATATTACATCCCCTTGGCTCCTCTTCCAACTGTATGTGGCTGCAGACTGTGCCCCTGGTGCTGTGCAGGTCTCAGCTCACCTCACTGCATGCTGGGCTGTGTGCAATTCACTTCCCCCTAGGGCCTTAGACTAGACCCCAGTGTCATGTGGGTCTTTCTCACCTTGGCAGCTGCTGGGCTGTGTGTGCTTCCCTCTGGGCCTTAGACTGGGCCCTGGTGCTGGAAGGGTATGTTCTTTTCTCACCTCAGTAGCTGCTGGGCTCTTAATTATTAATTTAACTTTTATTCTCCATCAAACATCTACTTGATATTCAAAATGACTTCCTAAATAGTGAGAACCTTTTGTCAGAAGGGAAACAAGTGTTAACTGTGATTGGTCTAGACAATGTATCAGCAAAAATTTTCTATTAAGGGCAACATGGTAAATAGCTTATGTTTTGCAGGCAACAGTCTGTCACAGCCACTCAATTCTGCCACTGTGAAAGCACTCCATAGACAATCTGCAAACAAATGGGTTGGGTTCCAATAAAACTTTACTTACAAATACAGGCAGCAAGCCAGATTTGATCTCAGGCTGTAGTTTCTGACCCTGGCTCTAAATAAAATGATAACAAAAGTACTTTCCTAAACTTGGATCTCAAAGTTAAGAGTATGAAATTCTTAAAAGGCTGCAAGTTGAAGAACTAGCAAGCTGGCTGTTTGTTTTTGGTCCTTGCAATATTTGTCCCCACGGTTATTTTGGTGGGACATTTTTAAATTGAGAGAACTTCACATACAAATTTGGATTTCCATTTTCTCTTTAAAACTTAGGCAGAGCTGGGCCCCATTACTGTACAGCAATACCTCATGAACTGGCCACTCAGTGCCAACCATCCTTTTTAGAGAGGACCTGGGTGCTCCTCTTTTCCCCAGTCCTCTCCCCTCCCTGTTGCTCCCTCCCTGAGACTGCGCAGCAGCTGTGAGTTACAGTGCCGTGTTCTATGGCTTTCCTTGTGCCCAGCGTACTAGTTTTGCTCATCTCAGCTCCCAACCTGGCCCCCTTAGGCTGGTTTGCAGTCCTACTGTGTTATCAGGACATGTTCATGTTCTAGGATGAGCAGTGAATTCCGTGTATGGGTGAAGGAACTGGAAAATGCCCTTCCTTATAAAGAATGTTGTTTGTTTCCTCACAATGAAAAAAAGAAAACTCATTAAGAACTGTTATGGTTTTATTCTTTTTAAAAAATCCTGAGTGAATCCTTTTATATCCACCATCCTTCATTCATTTCATCTGTTTAAATTTATAAAAAGAGAGCTCCCGAATGTCTCCATGTGATAGTTAGACTTGGACAATCTGATTTCCTGTCGTGTTACACAGTCAAACTTAGAGGGCATTAGAGATCCCCACTTATCAAGCATGCAATGCCCTGTTCTCAAGGAACAGGGAAATTCTGCCTCTGTCTGCAAGACTTTTCGGTGACC